AAGGGGGTGAGAAAAAGGGGGACGGGCAGTAAAAACGGTTTCGTGTAATCGGTCCGCCGCACGCGGCTGTCGCGGACCATTCGCCTCGTTATTGCAGCTCTGGCGTTCTTCATACAGCTCAATCGCTATGCGATTATTACTCATGGCATGATTCTACTGTTAGTTCTTTTGTTCCTGAATTTGTTATTTGCTGCAGCATTCTGCTTACACTCCTTCGCGCGCGGTGTCTCTCTTGCTGCGACGCGACCATTTCGTTTCTACTGCACCACACCCGAGAAAAAGTAGTTGCAGGTAGAGTCGTCACCTTCATCGATGCGCTCCCCTAAGCACGGATCAAACCTGACTAGAAGGACTTTCTGGAAGTTAAATCAGTGAATCATAGCGAGCCGCTCGCCCCTTTGGCTACACTAGGAATCGAGTCCTTCGGAAATATTCAGATGTGTGAAAGTTGGGTGCATGGCGCACACAGAAAAAGGATGTAACAAAGTGGAGCCTTTATTTTTTCGCTGCATATTGGTCCATACTTCCATTAGTACAAAAAAATCGCAACGCCTTCGGTGATAATAAGCACAGAAAATCTTTCACATATCTCTTTTTCACTCTTCTGAAATAATGCACTTTAAATCGTCAGTACAGTAAACCCAGAAAGAAATTTTCATTTTCTGTTTCCACAGGGAATGAAATGGATTCGGGACCTGGGGAACCTCCTTTTCGTTCAGAAAAGATATAAGCCATAAAAAGTAGGTAACAAGGACACATTTTCGCTAATTGTGTCGAAGTTGCACCACAGCAGGTCCGCGTCGGGACAACTAGCTAAGAATTCAGACCCACTATGAGGGAGGGGTCGAAACTCCAACCCTACACCCAAAATTCTAGTCTGTGGCTATTCAGGCTTCCAAAGATTTTCTCACGGCTATAAAAAACCCTCCACGGAAGGAATGTAGCAGGATGCATCAGCAGGTAAGAAATACAAGACCAAAAGTACTAATTGTAGAGTCATGCATAAAATAATGATCGCATATCGATTGAGCTGTATGAAGGACGCCAGATCTGTAGTAACGGCGAAGCGAAGTCCGCGACAGCCGCGTGCGGCGAATCGATTACAGAAAATCGTTCCTACTGCCCGTGCCCGTATAAGTGAAAAAAATGCAAAAGGAGGTTATCTAATTTGGTCACAGTGGCAGAGCCAGATGTAGGCTTGTTACACATTCAGTCCGTTTCCGTGAATTTGTAACCGATCCCGCCACTTTTAATGCCTGAAAGAGCCGTCCTGAGGTTTAAAGGGTGAGCACCGCTCTGCTCCATAAAATTCAGTGGCGGCCAAAGCTGCAACGAGCAAATTCCGTCCAGTCCATTCAAAATTGCTCCTCATTAAACTAGTTGTTAGGTATAAATTATGGCTATTACAACGCGAATGCGAACATCGCTCTCTGTCACAATTTACTGAAGCAGCTAGGAATCATGTCTCGGAGACATGTTGTACCAGTTAACGTCAAGCACTTAATCAGTCGCCCCAAAATTACAGGAATAAATCAACAATGATAAAATGATACCAGACTTGCAAAAGTTAAAAGTAGCGAATATGTAAGGGATACCAGTAAGTGAAAGAAGAACGGACAAAGTGAATTTGTAGCCGAAGAACAACTCAAAGGGTATATGACTGTATTTAAATAGTTACTTCGTACTACTCTGGATTGCATTTACTCTTTCTTTCGCTATTTTTTGGTTCTACCCAGGACTGGCATTCCTTTTAAACCATTAAGTCAGCTTGCACTGACGGAGGGTAATTTTAAGCCTGGAATAGTTTTACAACAGAACCACTTAGTGGTTTTTGACATCTCCATATATCTTAAACTTTCTAAAAACTGAGTTTCGCTGTACTGAAGTACGGTAGGAACCCAGAAAAGGTTTTTTTTGAAAAGGATAAAGAGTAGAGGCGGTGGTGAGAACAAGACAGCCGTCATTGTTTATTTCGAAAATGGTTCAAAATAATAAAAATAAAAGTTCAAGTGAATTAGTACAAATTAATGATCCCACCGGTCTTTTATGTGCTTCAAAAGCCTCGAGACGAAGCCCCAAATTCATGGGTGGGTATCAGTTCGGGTTATGATAGGGTAGAGTTAATGGTGGGAAGCGAGCGACCAGACTTTGTCTCAGTTATTGTTCAGAAATTAAAATGTCCAAAAAATTCCAGTCTTCACTTAAAGAATTATTTTTTGAATTCAATAATCCTCCTTTCAGTTATTCTTCACCATACACTATTTTCAGGAGTTCACACTTGAAGCCGTCCCAAAAAATCAATACGGGCTATTCTACAGTGATGACACCTACATTGTGCTGAATGTGAGATATCGATCTTGACTGAAGCAGTAAATCGATTTTACTCCTAACGATGTCTTTCAGTCAACGGACAGTGGATGGGATGTTCATTTTTGGATTGGTAAAACTGCTTCACAGGATGAAAGGGGAACGGCCGCCATTAAAACAGTGGAAATCGATCAAGCCCTCAATGGCCTTCCAGTTCAACACAGAGAAGTGCAAAACCACGAATCACCACTGTTTATATCATATTTTCCGAATGGCATCAGGTAAACTTGAAGACGGATTTGTAGAAGTCGTGAAAACTCAAGGGAAGCACCAATTTCAGGTATTTGGCCGGTGGCTACAAAACTGGATTCCATCATGTGGAAGAGGAAAATTTCGAGGATTGGCAGCCACGCCTATTTCATTGCAAAGGAAAAAGGAACGTTCGTTGTTACCAGGTAAATCATCATATAGCAGATATCTCGTTGTTTTTCTTTCAACGTGTTACGAATCTCTAAATAAGTCCAATATACGATCAGGGCTTGCCTTCCAGCTAGGTCTTTTCTTGCACAAAGTGATCGGGAAACTCGGAATCAGCAAGTTGCTTTATTACTGTGAATTTCACTATTTTGTAATTATTACTGATGCTGCGATTTTGCAAGATTTATGCTTGAGGGGTAGGAAACTCCTGCGCCGCGGATGCGACGCGGTCTGGGCGACTTCATAACTGCCGCGCCTTGTTGCCTAAAACATAAGAGCTTCCCCCGCAACAAGTTTATAGGCGGAATATATTTGGGTCTGGTGATTTTCTAAAATACTGAGGTGTAAATAGACCGAGCCACATAACTTCAAAAGGGTAAGGTAAAAAAGATGAGTTATCCCAGTTCAAGCTTTGCATTTTGGTGGAACATTTGCACTTCACAGCTCTGAAATTTTGCCCAAGACATCTTATTGATAGGTCGTGGGATATGTGCATATCCCCCAACAGTCCATTTATAGCCTAGATTGAGGATTACATCGGATAGCTTATCCCTAATCATCTTGCCCACATTGCGAACCTGCCGAGCTAAAGATTCCTTTAACTGTTTACCTTGTTATTCACCGTACCGGTAAAAAAGCCT